AGCGGCTGGTGGTCCTGGGGACTGACTGTGCTATCACGGAGACAGCAGCCACTGGGGATGGGAACTGTCACGTGCACATAATGACGTGAGTACCAGCTTGAGCAGGAAAGTTTTGGGCTATAGATAGGTCCCAGGGGACGATAACTTTTCAAAGGTTGTCAGTATCACAGGAGGAGAATCGATAACCATAGGATGAAGAGGGGCTACTAACTTAACCCGCAGATCGCTCGGTGGGAAAGGTGGAGGCAAGATGGTGTCTTGTCAGTCAGCCAATCAAGAGTCCTCTCTCCTCTGGGCACAGGAGGCAGCAATGCCAGCTATGTCTGTCGCTAACCAGGTAAGCACAGCACCGTACTTAAGAGTGTGGACTTGGGTGCAATGGTTCAAACTGGAGGTTCAAATGGTGGCTCCATCACTTAGGAACCTTGTCACCTTAGGGCCAATAGACTTAACCTGTGTTGGTCTCCATCTCCCTTCTATAAAATGGAGGTGACTAGGGCCACCACCTCCCAGAGTTGTACGGTTTACAGAAGTCACCATTGGAAATGCACATCGGACATTGCCTGACATTATCATAAAGATGCTCCAGAAGTGTTTATTACAGAAACAAACAAACAAATAAGCAACAAATTGCCCCAAACCAAGCAGAAGGCAGAGATGCATAGAGGTCACCCAGTAACACTTTCTTGGCCAACTAATGCAACTAAAGTTGTATTGGCTGATACATACCTATTTTAAAACCTATTCTTTACAGGGCTCCTTTCAATTTCGTGTAGTGTGTGAAGACAGGGGAAGAGTGACATAATTGCAAGTTTTTCTCCGGGAGAAGGAAGGCTTTTGAAAATAGTAAAGCTCTGCTTTTTGCCTCGAGTTACAGGTACATGCTTGCACAAAGCCATTGAAATTCACCTCCAGAATCTTCCATTCGGGGTGCCAAGGAATTTGTTGATTTAAACATACCATTTCCTCCATTCTCAGAAATTATCACATACTCTGCAGTCACACAGAATATACAACGTCTTGCACACAGTACCTGGAGTTCATCAAACTTGAATTTAAGAGGCAAAAACCGAGCTTTGTGACCATTAGCCTCTGCTTCCTCTTTTTTCTTTTTCCTACTGGCTTAGCACAAAGTGGCTTAATTCTCACTTGTATCACAATATATACCAAGAGAACCGCTCTCCTTGGTGGTTCTTCTCCAGGTGGGGACTCGGGGACCCAGGTTCCCTCCATATTCAGACACTGTTGCCTTAAACCTGCGATCCCTAAGGTTGCCCCAGAAGAAGAGAATCTCTACCTTCTTTTGCTTCCTTTAGATAAGTCATTTCACATATTTACCCCAAAGCAAAATAAGAAAGCAAGATAAGGAACAGAATTTTGCCCCTAATAAGGCCTATCGTCCCGAAGAGCGGCAGGTATGGTATATCCTCTGACCTGGGGGCCCTGGACTCAGGTGGTCTTGGTTGAGTCACTGGTTCCCAAGGTCCCATGGGGCCCTTCACACAACAGGTCCTTCATATGCATTTACTGAATTTAGCAAATGAAAAATAATAACAATAAAACACCCTGAATTTTTCCTTTATTACATGTGTGATTTTCCTTGGGATCCATTTTTACTTTGCCAATTTCCCACTCTCCCTTAAGGATGATTTCAAGGGGGGGAGGACACCTGGGTGGCTCAGTGGGTCAAGCCTCTGCCTTCGGCTCAGGTCATGGTCTCAGGGTCCTGGAATCGAGCCCTGCATCGGGCTCTCTGCTCAGCGGGGAGCCTGCTTCCCCCCCTCTCTCTGCCTGCCTCTCTGCCTGCTTGTGATCTCTCTCTCTGTGTCAAATAAATAAATAAAATCTTAAAAAAAAAAAAAAAAGGATCATTTCAAGGAAAAGAGCTGGGAGGATAAAAAGTAATACTGACCAACTCTAAGAAATACAGCTTATACCATAGTAAATACCATTGTAAAGGATTAACTTATTTCAAAGCAACCCCTTTTTATGGCTTTATAGATGGACAACTGCCTGAAAAATGGTACAAAAAGAACTATGAGAACTTCATCAAGAGCAGTAAAAACAGGAAAGTGTGCTTTACGGTAAAGCATGCCACCAATCACATCTCTGTTGTCTCTGCCCGTGTGTTTCCTTTACACACCGACTCAGGGCTTGGCCATGTGACTGAGGTTGCCAACGGGGCATCAGCAAGGATGATACAAGCCAGGGCTTGAAAAGGTCTTGTTCACTGGGGCCTTCACTGAGGGGAGGTTGTCCTGAGTTCGGCAAACAGTAAAGACCAGGATGAAAGACCATGTGACAGTACAGTTGCCCCATCAGCTCAGTGTAGCTGCATTCAGTGAGCCCAAGTGAGACCAGCAGAAAAAGTCATTAACTAAAGTCTAAAACTAAAACTAAAAGTCATTAACTTAACCCATAAGAAAGAATAAATAAGAACCATAAGAAATAATAAATTGTTACTCTATCGGACCACTGTGTTTTAGGGTGTTTTTCAATGAAGCAAAGGTGACCTAAAGCTATCTTTATCATAGTAAGTAAACCAAATCCTACAGCTTTAAAAAAATGCAATCCAATCTAGAGTTGCAAAAATCTGATTCACATCTGAAGTGCTGGTGCAGAGTGGTCAGGGGCACCTGGGTGGCTGCTTCAGTTAAGAGTCTGCCTTTGGGGGGTGCCTGGGTGGCTCAGTGGTTTAAAGCCTCTGCCTTCGGCTCAGGTCCTGGTCCCAGGGTCCTGGAATCGAGCTCCGCATCAGGCTCTCTGCTCGGCAGGGAGCCTGCTTCCTCCTCCTCTCTCTCTGCCTGCCTCGCGGTCTACTTGTGATCTCTGTCTGTCAAATAAATAAATAAATTAAAAAAAAAAAAAAAGAGTCTGCCTTTAGCTCAGGTCATGATCCTGGAGTCCCTGGATCAAGCCCCACATCAGGCTCCCTGCTCAGTGGGGAGTCTGCTTCTCCCTCTGCACCTCCATCTGTGCTCTTCCTCTCTCTCTCTAAAATAAAATATAAAATCTTAAAAAAAAAAAAAAAAAGCAGCAGAGTGCTTTGTAGGATTACTGCACGTGGCAGGGATGTGGATTTCCCATCCCCCTCCCCCACAATCCCTCTGACTTTCATTGTAGGTAAATAATTATTACCTCTTAGCTCCCTCCCTCAATCCCTCAGAAAAGCAGAAAAAATGCTGGCTATCTCACAAAATCTGCATTCTTTGGACAAAGTACAAATTTAAGTGGTTCTGGGGGAAAGGCTCAGTTTGACAAGCCACTGACCATCAAAAACCACCTATCTTGGACCTAATGTCATTGAAATAACACTTCAGTGGGAACAAAGAGCTGCTTTCTTATTTGATTATATAATGACAGTGCGCTTTCTTTTTGGCTGATTGAAGGAAAAAAGACAGTCGAAATGATGCTCGATTTACCGGCAGCAAAAATTCCAAGCACCTGATCCAATGAACAGAGCCTGAGGGCAGGGTCCAAAAGATTAAGAAGCGCTGATAATTGGGGGCTCACTGCTGCTGGAAGAGGGGGACTGAACAAAGTTCACACCGGCAATCCCAGGGCTGCTATTCCTTTGGCTCCCGGGTCACAGAACACTCTGGTTTCCTCAGCAATGCCTAGCAACACCAGCTCAGGGAGAAGCTGACAAGTCGCTGGGAAAAAATGGTCCGTTCGAAGCTTCCTACAGGTAGCATATCCGCTCAGTATGGGCTAACTTCTTTGTCCTAAAGGGATGAATGTGCTTAGTACAGTTCTATCTTATTTAAGGAGTAACCTCTTCCTAAAACTCTTCATGTGAAGAGGAAAATTAGAGCTTCACCATCAAAAGCATCCCATATATTAAAGATAGGTACAAATCATCCTAACCTTTGTTTCCAGTCTGTCATTCTTCCTAGCGAGGGAGAGTCCTTCTCTAATGAACACAGTGAAGAATGTAACAGCCTGCCCAAGCTCATCCTTTTCAGAGTCTCAGCAGAGACCACTTGCTATTTCAGTTGATCCTAAAAAGCAGTGTATTCATCATGAAAGATCTGAGGGAAGCTCACAGAACTAGGGCAGCAAACGGCATCTGTTACCACATAAAATCAGCTCAGATACAGTCAAGATATTGTTTACTTCCCAGATTCTCCTGAGACCTCTACACCAACTGGTGGGGGGATGCGGTTTCCTGACTGTACGCAAATCCATGGTTGATGGAAAATTCTAGGAGAGCACAGAGCAGCAGTGGAAGCATAAATGTATCTCAGTGACCCTCCATAATGCCACGGAGGTGATTTCTTGCTAAGAAAATAGTCCTTTTGTAATTTGCCAAGCCAGGAAGCCCTGAGGCTGGCCACTAATGCATTTCTTTGGCAATTACTTTGTAATGGCTTTTTTTTTTTTTTTTTTTTTTTAAAGTAGGCTCCACACCCAGCGTGGAAACCAGCATGGAACCCAGCATGGGGCTTGAACTCCCCACCCAGAGATCAAGACCTGATTTGAGATCAAGAGTGGGAAGCCCAACCCACTGAACCACCCAGGCGCCCGGGACTTTGTAGTGTCTTCCTGGCTCCCACGGCACATTTCTTGACCTGATGCTGAAAATCACCTCAAACCAGGACATCTTATTGCGCTGACTTCATGAGTGATGCTTTGGGGCGTTCCAACCAGACTTTGATTTGCAATTTTACTCCGCAATTTTTAAAATTGTCCAGTGAGGCACACCTGCTTGGCTTCTGGACTGTCTCATTTCGTCATGCTTTCGCTTATTCATTCATGAGCTGCCACTGGGAGAAAGGCTTAGGTCTTATAAGCCACTGATCATGAAAAGCCAACACTGACTTCTCTGAAAGGCTACTGAAGAAATAAAAGATATGTGTTCTGGACCCACCAAAGCTTACTATCCAAGAGGCCAGTCAACATGTCTCTGAAGTGAAAAAAGGGACAATTTTTAAGAAAGCAATAATGACAATAACAGGTGGGGGCTTCTTCCTTCACCCTAACCATCTTCCTTGCCTTACCTTGCTCTGATGGGTTGAGATCCTAGTCTGGGTCCCAAAGCACTACCATTTCCAGGAGAATTCTTTCTGGCTAACGCTGGGGATATAGAAGTTGTTCTTTGAGGCACCTAAAAGAAAAACCAGAATTCAGAAATATTTTCCATACAATAGTTCTCACAGGCTCCAGCAGCCTAACCCTTCTCTAAAATTTACCAGGAGTTACAGAAACTATCAGAAATGGGAAAGACATGGTGTTCATGTTTCAAAGAAATCTTTAACTCCCTAAACAAAATCACACAAAAGGCACAGAGGCACCTTCAGCAATTATGAAGGAGAATGGTTTTCAGTCTTAAAAACAAATTAAAAAGCAGACCAAGCTAATTATTTTTATCACCAGGCTAAAACACTTGACCTCCTTTGCTTGTGTAAGAGTGGCAGATACCAGAAATTTCTCTGGGGTACCATTAACTCAGTTGATCATTAGAAATTGCATCAGATGAGAGTTATCCAGAGAAGCGGAACTCCACCCCAACTGATAAACAGATAAGGAGATGATGAAATCTGGTGAGAGAGGGGTATCAGGCTAGAACTTGGGACATAAGCCACAGGCTCAGGAGCTCAGAGAAACTCTTTCAATGGATCCTAAGTGTTACTACTTCCTAATCAACTTGCAGTCATTAATTAAAAACAACCCCCCTCGCAAATACTGTGCCTTGGAAAGTCAATTTGCAAATGGACTACAAAACAGAATTAATATTGAAAACGCCAGCAGGGTCTTCAAAAAGACTGTGTGCACACTATTAGGCACACAGTAGGAAAAGAGATCATTATTAGCTTATCTGACAAGGGCCTAACATGGGAATTCAAGTCTGCCTCACTTTATTAAACATTTTTAGTGAAATCAAATATTGAAAGTATACTAAAGGGGTCCAACATGAGGGAAAAGAATAATACTTTATAAAAGTGACCAGGAGGGGTGCCTGGGTGGCTCAGTGGGTTAAGCCTCTGCCTTCGGCTCAGGTCATGATCTCGGGGTCCTGGGATGGAGCCCCGCATCGGGCTCTCTGCTTGGCGGGGAGCCTGCTTTCCCCTCTCTCTGCCTGCCTCTCTGCCTGCTTGTGATCTCTCCCTCTCTGTCAAATAAATACAAATGAAATCTTAAAAAAAAAAAAAGTGACCAGGAGATGGAAATGTAGGTAACTCGTGATAACTGATTGGATTAAACATTTGTTGGGTGGTTCAATCTTCATTCATCTCTTGGGGCCCTTTTTTTTTTTTTTTTTAAAGATTTTATTTATTTATTTGACAGAGATCATGAGTAGGCAGAGAACTTTAAATAGTTGTAAATTAAATTAAATAGTTGTATTAATTAATAAAAATTAAAAATTAGTTATTTTAAATAATTTTTTAAAATAATTTATTTAATTTGAATTTATTTTTATTTATTTATTATAAATTTGTTATTTAATAATTTAATAATAATTTTAAAATAGAAATTTATTATTTAATAATTTATTTAATTTAAAATAATAATTTTATTTCTATTTTAATTAGAAATTAAATAGTTGTAAATTTAAATAGTTGTCAAGAAGAAAGAGTCTAACAAATTCATAAAACCTAAAATCTTTATATGAATGTCAAATTTTCTCCCGGAGTTAGAAATGTATGCCTGCATGTTTTCAGAGAGCGGACCAATAACGTCCCTTTTCCGTTTTCCCAGTTCTTGGGCCACTCCCCTGCCCGACCTATCTTTGACATTAAACTTTGCTCCCTAACTAACCTTTTCTGAAGGCATCCTTACTTCCACAAAAGGAGAGCACCAACAAAAAAAGTCACAGTCAGCTATTTTCATTTCCAAAAGTCATGGAAATGCTGCTCTAATATCTTTTTGAGTGGAAGATGAGGAAGAATATTTGACAATCATTGGGTAAAAAGTTCTTTTTGCCTGGTGTCAACAATGGCATTGATCTCCGAAAATTGTGGGACATTCCATTTGGCAAAGCTCCAATGCTAAGTTCAGGAGAAAGGAAGAACCAAGAAGAACGTAATGCAAAAATTTCTCTAGTATTCTGAAATGCTTCCAGGATGTCTGCAGTGAGATGCGTAGCCACATTTCATGACAACTTTTGGAATGAGTAACAATGGGTATAGGTAAAAACAAAACAAAAGAAACGAATCCAGGATTATTCTGTCCAGTAGATGGCTAGTCATTTCACCCTATGGTTTTAGGCTCAGGAGTTAAATTATGACCTGGGCTAAAGGAGCTTTCCTTAAACGGAGCTGATTTTAAAAGCAGTACTATCTTCTGAACACCTGCAAACCTATTTGTGTTATTAAAAGTAGAAATAAATCAATTTTCTACTTTTTATCTGGAAGTTTTCAATTCGTTTAGATGTAGTTTCAGTCACTGATGAAAATACCCATTATTCCACTTCTCTCTCTCTCTCTTTTTAAAAAGGTTTTATTTATTCATTTGAGAGAGAGAGACAGAGCACAAGTGGGGGAAGAGGCAGAGTGAGAGGGGGAAGCAGACTTCCTGCTGAGCTGGGAGCCCAACACGGGGCTTGGACATGGAGACTGAGACCTGAACCGAAGGCAGACATTTAACCATCTGAGCCACCCAGGTGCTTCCCCACTTTCCTTCCTTCCTTCCTTCCTTTCTTTCTTTCTTTTTTTTGTGTGCGTGTGTGTGTTTTTTTGTTTGTTTAAGTAATGTATACGTCCAATATGGGGCTTGAACTCACGACCTGGAGGTCGAGAGTCACATCTTCTATTGACTGAACCAGCCAGGCACCCCCATTATTCTGGTTTCTTAACGCGGACAGTATAATAGTTTAGAATGCTTGAAGTTGAGAGTTCTAATTCTGGATATAGGATAGATGTTTCCAAGTCACTGAATTACCTGAGCCTCTATTTCTTGGGAAAATGAAGGTCAGAAGTGATCAATGACAATCCAAGTCTTAGCTTAGGAACAAGAAGGAGAACATGAGAAAGGGTGCTGCTCTGGCATTCTCAGGTTCCTCATTACTATAGAAGGTCTGGAATAGAGATGCTAATACTAATAATGAACAATGATGATGATGATAGTTATGATGAAAGCATGCTAGCCTATTACCTTTGGTGGAATGTCTTCTTCCTGTCGTAACCAAGAGCTTCGGTCAAACTTCTCGATGCGAGTGGGGAGAGGAGGGTTTTCGGAGGTGGGATCCGAGTTCTGGCGTGGCATCTCAACGCGGTGAGAGGTCACGTTCAGAGCCTCCTGAAACCCAGAGAGGCCCTTGGTGGGTTGCTCGTGCACTGACTGGGAGGCGGTCAAGGCAGGTCCCTGGGATTTTACTGCTACCAGATGTGGAATCTAAACATCAAACCAACAGTAGAGCAACTGTATTAGAAGAAAAAGCAGAGCAGCTACTATGTCATTCAGTAGAAAGGAAAATGCCATTTTAGAGCATGAGATGAGAACTGGAGGACACAGAGCCCATCACAGCTGTCTCCAGCAAGCTTCCAGAAGCTCCTCCGAACTTCCCATTTACGGCCATATGTAGGGCTGACCAAGGGCGCCTGGCCAAAATTAACTGAGTCATTCGGGACTCCTAAGAAGTAGGTGAAATAGGTGTGATGCTAATAACAGCCAGTTTCAGTGGACATTTACTGGCCAGCCGTATAATAGATTTACAAGCACTTTTCTTCGAATATTATAAAATTCCTCCCTCAAAACCCTTAACTTTGACTTCAGAAAGCGCTATCACTCTGTAAAACAAAAACTGCTCTGGGTATCTTACTCCTCATGAACTCACTACATCCACCATAAGGTGGATACAATCATTTTCAACCTTTTTCATGTAAGACTGGAAGGTCTAGAGAGGTTAAGTAGCAGCCTGGACCTCACGGCTCATACATGCCAGGGCCCGGACCAGAACCCTCACGCGCCTCCTGGTCCCTACCCCTAACTCTAGGCTCTTCTGCCTTCTGGTGAGCTGGTTCTCACCACCCATGATCTTATATATCTCTCCACACCAGGATGTTTCTTTTAGAGGTGTGAGCCCCCTAACTGGGCGTGCGTTGGTATTATTCATGCAGGGAAGACATGCTGTCTTTGGGTAGAAATGTGGCTCTTTAAGACAGATCACGAAAATCCAAAGTTCAGAGTGTTCTTGACCGTTAGCACTCTTCTCACTTCATTGTTACAATCTCGAAGGTAAAACCCCTGGAGATGGGAGCCAAGTCTGGTATGGGATCCCTTGGTTTACACTGTGCCTGGCACGGGGAATGTGGTCAATGGATCTCGGCTGGGGAAACAACTAGAATACTTTCTAAATTAAACGCTTAAGTAAAACACTAATCTACTATCTGCTTTGTGCAAGGGACCTATCAGACCCTCCTTGTTCTGAAATCTCAAATGCGAGACCACTGGGGAGAATTTCCACGGCCCTCTTCTGCCAGCCTGGCCCTGCTCCTTTTGCCCTTGAAGTCTTATCCCTGGAGCAGCCCTGCCCTTGCCTCTTCAGACCCTTTTCGGTCTGAAATCTGAAATATTATTAATTACAGCTCAGAGAAAAATCCTCAAGGTCTAGTTCAGGTGAATGTTATGCTTCCACCAGGAAAGAACTGTAACCAATCACGTTTTTGTTAATGTTAATTACCACGAATGTAATAATAATATTAAAATAGAGCATATTTTAAAAACGCATCACAAAACACACCCCTATTTAAAAGAGTTTTCAAAGACATTTGGGTGAAACCAGCTGCATCTGCATCATTACCTTTATTTTTCATAAAATTCCCTACTTTATTTCACTTCATATTTCATTTTTAGTGTTTACAATTTCAGAAGTCCTCTAAAACCTCCCGAAACGTGTCCAGGAGTGGAGTAACTTTTTTCTTTTTTAAATAGCTTACACCAGTGGCTCTCGAGTCCTAGAGTGCTTCAGGAGCATCCGGAGGGCTTGCTAACATGCAGACGGCCAGACCCCCACGGACGTGCTGATCAGCAGGTCTGAGGCGACCAGGGAACCTGCCTTTCTACCAAGTTCCTGGGTGACGCTGATGCTAATGGTCCGTGACCACCCTCTGGAAACCACTGGCTTAGAAGACACAATTTTATCCCAGGTCATTTCGTTTTTCTGGTTAAAGACCATGCCCAAATCCCAATGAACAGAACATAATGTAATAGTTTATATTTGACAGATATCTATACAAATGCTAGCTTGATGATTGTAACTGAACGGATGCTTGTTCCAACCTGGCAGATACCCCCAAGGGTCTCCAGAGAGGCCGGTTTACCAAGAGGTGACCCTGCCGTTGGCTCAAAGTTAAGGAGGGTGTCTTTTCTTTCTCCCCTCTTCCCCCATCCTTCAAATCCAGTGAGGTCGCCTCTATTACTATAGGTTCTGCATTAAGGGCCGTTGTTGGACTGGTCCTATGTATGAATCCAAGTTACAATCCCCTATTCTTTTAGTAAGCTTAACTGTACACCCAGCTAAGATGGCCAATGGAAGAAAGCCAGGAAGGTACCTGGGGATCGACAGGTCTGAGCATGGGGGGTGTTCGAGCAGGCTGAACCCCACTGATACTGAAGGACTCCGACCTCGGGGGCAGGTTGGGGTCAGAGATTCTGTTGGCAACCTTGTGAGGCATGGCTGGAGAACTCTGCCGGTTGAGCCTTGACCGCTCTTCCACCTAGAAGCAAAAAAAAAAAAAAAAAAAAAAGAAAGGTGCTTAGGTAGATGGACACAAGCTGTTTTGCTGCCTTGTAAGGATTCTCTGTAGTCACCTGCACAGCCATTTTTGGGTCCCTCTGATCAATTCATTTTCAGGGACCCAAACTCTCCATACTTGCTCTGCAGTCTTGAAAAAGCTCCTTTCTGTCAGAGTAAGCACTAGCTCAAAACACACGGACCTCGTAAGCTGTCACCCTTTGCTCCCTGGTATCCTGTGCTATTTCAGTTAGCGGGGAGTTTGGGACCTGCTTAAGAGTTTACCTTGCACTGACTGGATATTCTCTTGCTGATGGGTCACAAAGCCATGGAGTCAGTGAGGGACATGGAGGGAACTGGGGTGGGCATTGAGACTGCTCGGGAAAGCAGAAAACTCCTCACAAGCTGACTCAGGCAACAGGGGAGGGAAGACCACTCACCCTGCGTTTCCTCACAGGCCCTACTGATAGGCCAATGGGTGTTTCAGGCGCTCTCTTAATGAGCAGACCTATCTTCAGACGGCCTGTATTGTTTCTTTTCCCCTCGTTAGGACCTTGTCTTTTCACTTGTCTCCCTGCTCCCTAAAATACGCCTTTCCATTTCCAGCCTGGACTCTGCTGCCTCACTCTGTCCCCTTCTCCCTCTTTGTCCCTGTGTGACATTCGTTCTCGCTTCTACCCCTCCCTTCTCCCCACCTCCAACCCTCTCTCTTCTGGGGCCACTTTATTTCCCTTGTCATCCCCTTTCCTGCTGAGTCTCTCAGCCCAAAGCAGGTAACTGATCAGAAGGGTTCCGCAGGAAAGGCTCACGGTCCCAGGAATGCCCTTTTTTGTAGGGAAGATTCCCCTCAGTTCATGTCTGCAGCAGACAGACCATCACAGAGGCTATTTCCAAATGGAAATTCAGATAAACAAGATGTACACTGCAAGGCATGATTTAAGACCTCTGACAACTTCAAGAGGTCTAGCCCTTTTCTTTCAGATGCATCTCAGCCTGTCCTTTATTTCTTTTGGGTCAATTTGACAGCTGTATTTTCCAAACCTGCCGGGCAGCCCATCCACCCTGACGACTCTTCAGTGTGAGCCTGAGCTCCCTTTGCTGTCTCACTGAGGAGGGTTCCAAGGGCCCATCCCAGAACCCACACACAGACCCAGACATATCTGTATGGAGCTCTTTATTCATTTCATGGCCTGAGTTGAAAGAAAAATTCAAAAGAGCTATTCTTTCCCATCCTTCCTATTCCATTTTGGATCTTTCTAGAGGCAGACTGAGTCTCATATACAGAATAAGTCTGTTTTGAAGCCCTCATATTAACTGCAAACATTTTAACATAATAAGGTATGCTGCAGAATAGAAAACCGTCCCACAGGGACAACTCAACCTCTCCTCTCCCACCATGGCTGTGCAGGGTACCTACAATTGACATCCAGTTGACTTTGGTTTTGAAACTCCATGTCCCGGAAGCTTACCACACACCAAAGAGTGTTAGCTACCACGAGCCAGACCTATAAACCAGAACATGTATACTTTGTGTGTGCGGTGGGCAAAGTATTACATCAGCGGTAATTATTTGGCTGCTGCACTGAGCAAAGGAAATGAATAAAGCCAGTTCTGAGCTGAGACCAGAAAGAGAAAGTCCCACAAAGACAGTGGCAGATCAACTGAAAGCAAGCCATGCAATGTATTGCTTTTCTAAATACTAAATACTAAATACTAGAAAAGAAAGTGACTGTTTCCAGACCACAGGAATTGGTCAAACATTAGCCATTTTCTTATTTCCATGGAAGATCGTTAATAGATAAATGCCATGTACGAGCACCTCTCACCATCCAAACTCCGAGAGTCCAAGCCATTTGCTGTCTGAGCTAAGGAACCCAAGAGATTCAGACACATTTTCAGATAAATCTCTGGTTTTCCAAACCATAGGTACCTGTTACCCGACAGTCAGGAACCAAATGTATTCAGAGTGGAGACTACTTGCCATTATTATTTTCTTAAGCTGTAAAATACACTCAGTTTTAAACACACAGAGACAGTACATTAAGAACAGCACTAGAAAAAGTCTGCCTTGAGGAGATGGAGTCAAAAAAGACTCCATCTTGAGCAAAGAAATCATAGAGTTCTTTTGGCAACAACCAGCAGCAAGGTTCCAGTAAACGAGGTATTCTTACCACAGGCCACATGGGCTTGATGGCTGTCATGGGAAATGAACAGGGCAGAAAAGTGAGAGGCTGACTTTCATAGGCAGCTAATGGGTTTGATTAGTCGTGAATAACTATTACTCTCTAGTAAACTTCCCTATGCCTTCTATCAGGTGGTTTGCATACGAAAACCTACAATTCGTATGTGTCAGGCTGTACTATTCTAAAACACATGGTATAGATCATCTACGGTTACACTGTGCAAATTATTTCAGGATGATTCAGTCTGGTGAAATTTCCTGGGTTGGAGCTTGTCCAGAGAAGTCTGAAAATCTATGAGAAAGGTGTAATAATGAGCCATTTGGCTACATACTTCGTCTCAAGAGAACCTTGTCCTAAGGTTTTCAGGAAGAAAATGCTGCCCATTGTTTTTGCACCAAAGGAACAGCATGAGGACTGGAGCAAAGATATCAAATCAAATACCCTACTATCAGACAAAGAAAGGAGAAGCTAGGTGGGGTATCTAGGCTCAGGCCCCTTCTGATTAATTTGGTAGTGGGCAAAGGCCTGTCTCCTGATACACCATATCTTATTCTAATAATTGAAAAGGAGATGGATATGTGAGTTAGACCAAAAAAAAAAAAAAAAAAAAAAAAGCGTGTTTTGTTTTGGTTTGTTTTTCACCCAGAATAAGGATATATGTGATTCAACACTGCAGTATAATGAAGTTATGTTTTGATTTGCCTCAAGTGATACTAAAAATAAATCTATGAACTGAGCCTCTATTCCAACCTCCTGCTCCAAGGAGATGTCAAATGTCAGAGTATCACCAAAAAAGAATGTTCTAGTAGCAAGAGACACAGAGTCTCAAGGTGCTGGACCATGACAACAAAAGATACCGGTTATGAAGGATTGCAAACTTGAAGGGATTATCAGTGGACACAGAGAACAAGAATAGGAGAGACTGATCAGTTTTAGTACAAAACCATTTTTTTTTTCTCATTAAAAGGATGGTTTTAACATCAAAACTAAAATTTGGAGAGATTTAGATCACCTCAGCAGAAATGCTTTCCTATGTGTTGTTGCATTACAGGAGAAAAAAGAAACATAATTGTGGTCTCAGAAATAAAATTCTGCTCCAGGCATGGCTGTGTTGTCCACGGGGTTCTATAGAAGTGATGTCTAAGGCCCCTGAGACACATAAAGGCTATCTAAACACAGAAGACCTGAAAATAAATTTGTTGATTACAGGACTTCAAAAAATTTCTCAAAATAAATACAAATATGGTTAAACATGTATAAAAGGAAACACAGCAATGTCAATTGTTAAATTAGTTTGTACGTTGACAACAATTCATTGCTTACAATGTCTCACTTAGCAATAATGAATGAAAGCTGCTAGAGAAAAATCTCAGAACAAAATTATAGCAGTAATTTTTTAGATGTTGACAGCAAAAATATATTTACGACGTCATATGGGTGCATTTTTATAATATTTTATATGATGCAGTGTATGAGGGGTCCATGAAAGCCTAGAAGGCCTTACTTAAAAGCTTATTTATACATGGTGAATTAAACACAATCATATGGGAATTCCTTTTCTTCCAACTGAACAACTGATGTTCTTGTTTTTACTGGCAATGCTGGAGAAAGAGAAAGAAGTCAACAAATAACGTTTGGGTACTCACTAGACCTTTAGGACCCTGCAGTCACTCTGGTCATATAAAGAGCTGTGTCATATTGTTCTTTGGCAAAACCGCAGGAGCAGGAGCAGACGCGGGCCGACCAAGACTGGGCACACGCCTTCTCTGAGGCACCTCTGAGAACAGAGGACACTCTCATTCATGTGAAATGCTTAAAATGGAGTTTCATCTGAAGTCAAAAGCCTGGACCACTTGTCCAGAGAAGAGCAGAGAGGTCTTCCTGGGGATAGAGCACGTAACTTAAAAATAATAAGGCAAAGCTTTCGCGTTGAGATGGGAAATGAAGACGTGTATTTGTATCACCGGGTGGATGGGGGTCGGGGAGATGGGGCTCCATGCGGACTGCCCTTGTGAAATCCAAAACAGAAACAACAGAGGCCAAACGCTTACCTCTTGTGGGGGACAGTGGCCTTGGAAACAAAATACGACTGTGTTGAAGACTAGATTTCATGTGTTTCTGCACAGCGCTTATCATTTCAATGGCACATTCACAGACAGAGGCGCCCAGAGGCATTCCTTAAAGGGAATGCAAGCCGAGCCTCAGGAAAGCTCCAAGACTCCTCCCGGGTCACCTAGTTGGGAGGTGGAAGAACTTGAACTCAAACTCCTTACTCCTTTCCAGGTCTCTCTTAGGGCAGCTCGTAAGAGAGCGAAGCAGAAACTAAGCAAAGAAGGGAGCAGAGCCGTACACTCTCTAAGTGGTAATTTGGGACCTCATCTGTAAAATGACTCCTATAAAAAGGGGGGAAAAACCACATCAGTGTAGAGTAGGGGAAACCAAATGAAGGAGTTCTTCCATACAGAGATTTCAGAGTCCAGTGGGCTGATGAGATATAAAGAGACATCTTCGCCCATCGTTTGCCACATAAAACCATGACCAGATGACTGGAAAGTATCAGGGAGTAAGAACATGATGGAGTGTTGAAAAAAACTAAAATACGATCTCATACAGTATTCATGGAGAGGGAACATTCTGTCACAGCTGTGTGTAGAAGAAAATTTGAAAAAATATAGGGAGGGGGCGTATACCCAATCACTGCCAGGCCCAATCACATGCCATTTGAAGGAAAGGAATCTGCCCCATTATAAGCAAAAGGTATTGTAAGAAAAGGAATGACCATCTTTCAAAAAGTGGCGGAAAAAAAGACCTTCGATTTTTGCTGATGTTCAACAGAATGTCATACTGATATTTTTACAGAAACAAATCGGCCTTCCATCCCAATCCAGGAATGGTCGAGGACTTGCAAGGGGTGAAAATGCCTCCACCCTTCCTTTTAATAGAAACAGGAAAGCTTCTCTCTGGCCAGAATCTGAATATCCCAGTCAATGTGACCATAGGGACAGACAGAATACTCTGTAAATGGAGAGAAGGAGGAGTTCAGCAAGATTTGCAAATGACTGAGTATTTTCATTTCTTCTTATTACATCCAACAAATTAATGAGAAAGCGCGTGCGAAACGGGAGGATGACTTATGTTTTACACAATGAAGCAACAAAATCACCAAGGGTGGGGCATGATAACATTATCCTAGCTAATGAAAAACTGTCAATTTGAAAAAAAGGAAGAGAAATAAGGGGATGAAAAAAATAACCGAGGAGGGACAAACCATCCTGGGGAGGAGGTAGAGAGCTGAGTTAGAAGACAAATATGGCACAAGTCAGAGGCTGCCAGGGGAGGAGACGGCTGCGGGGGTGTCTCAAGGGCACCCGGGGCAAGAAAAGTCTGGACCCTGTATCACAGGCTCCTGTGGCATGCCCACGGCTGCCCTTTCCTCCCTGGCAAGGATAATGTCCATTTTATACCCCGGTAGAGGACACATTTGAAAAAGAAAGGGTACCTTTTATTCTAACTCCTGAAGAGAGCTTGACTCAGGTTCTTATTCTTGGTTTATGATTTAGAGATGGCTGGGCTCAAAATTCTGTCTGTCTGTAAAGATCTGAAATGAATTTTGCCGTCTAGCTACTTTCAGCTCCATCTACCTCCCTACTGTAGGGAAAGAAACCTTTAAATAGAGCTCGGGAAGTGCATACATTGCTACGACAAGCATTAAAAGGTCAAGAAGATAAGGATCCTCACACCCAGTTTTATTCCCATTTTAAGAAGTGGGTGTTAAGAAAATGATGAATCAAACCAAAGCAGACAATTATTTGTTCTTATTTGTACACGAGTCACTCCGATCCCAAATTTAGCACCGTCACTCATTCTGCGATCTAAATGTTTCATCTCTCTTCTAAAATATGAACACCCACTCTTTTAAGACTTGGGAACTGCTTCATGAATAGATTGGTTAGTTGGAAGCTGGATTATGTTAACCACGCCCAGGAGGATAGGACTAAATATGAATCCCCAAAGAATGTTCCCCCATATGTCCAGAACTGCACGAAGCCCAAAGAAGACTGCCAGCTGCTAGGAAGCCAGGGACCTTGGAAGATGTAACCCACCAGAGGTGGCCCAGCTTTATGATGGCCAGGGAGCCTCACATCGGGAGTGCTTGCTGACACAGCTGGGTTGTTTGCACGTCCAATTGCTGTGTTTCTTTCACTGCTAGGAGCCTGGCCAGGGAGCATAGGGGAATTAGAAGGTCTAGAAAACCATCTTGCTGGCATCTGCAAAGACTGGCCCCCAGGAATGCCGTGGCTTCTGAGAGCTCGGGAACCGTGAACTAGTTCTGAACAGAGAGGATAGGCCAGGAAACTTAGTGAGGAGGACAAAGAGTAACTCGGTAACAGTGGAGTCAGAGTGATCAAGTTCACATGAGAAGGTGCTGGGTAGAGGTGGAAGGAAGGACATGGGAACTGCTCCAGGCTTCTCCCCGTTTTCTGGTACATTTGCATGTGAGGGAGCTGCACAGGGGAAAGGAGGAATTCTGGGACGCTCTGCAGAGAATCACAGTCTTCTCCAATGAGCTCTGTAGGTGTCCCTCTCCTAAACCCATGCTTGGGGCTGGAAACACGGAGGGCCATGGGGTCATGCATCAAGAAGAGGTCATTCAGCGATACAGCAGTTCTCAGAGGCGTCGGGGTACCTGGAAGGATGCATGCATTCATGCCCCTCCGGCCACGAGATCCACAGGGGTCTCTAAGGCCCTCCTTATGTGCAGTGATGGACAACTTGGGGCTTGTCACTTTGAAGATGTTGGGAGAGGACACACAAATGACCTCAGATCCTAACTCCTGAGATGGACTACATCCTTGGGAGCAAGTTCGCCTAGGGGATCTCACTGCGGTCCTCGAGGCTTCCTGAGCCTTCAGCTGTTCTTCAAGACCAACTCTACTAGGACAAGCGGGTCCACCTTTCTTCCGTGAGCGAGGCTCCAGCAGGAGTCTTGATCTGGAATCATTAATTTCTGCAGGTGCTCCTGGCATTGGCTTAGTGGAGCCTAGTTTTCCAGCCTTTTGAACACCTGCCGTGAGCAGGAGCTGTGAGTGTGGCTTAGCTGAGGGTTTCAACTTGGCAGGGCTAGAAAACGGTTTAGCAGTGGTGGATGGTGGCACGCCTCTGCCAGCCAGGACACACCTCAGCTGCTGTCTAACAGCAGAGGGATTCTGCTTAGCTGGAAGAACAGGTGGGTTATTAAGGGGTCGGTGCCGTACCTGGGAGTAGGATCACAAAAATGAATTATTGATCTAAGAGAAAGAGGCAGCTGTTACAGACATAGGTAAATACAAATCATCCTTATAGACTCTAAAGGAAAGTGATCAAAAACATTCTTTACATGACATCAAAGGATTTTCTCTACAGGTTCGTTTTTCAAGTTGTAAAAGAAAAAGGTTTGACTTTTGCAAAAATAGCACATGATCATTAGAAAAGATTTAAACGATATGTAAGAATACAAAAAAGCTTAAAGAACACACCCTGTGGTTCCACTGCCCTTTCAGCAATCATCATTAACCTTAGCGCAACATGGTTTCAAGCATTTTCTATATGTACGTAAAAGAGAATAAAAAAATTCAAAAAGACAGAAACATTTTTGTAAAAATAGGATCTTATGTAAGAAATCTAGTTCTGGTAAGACTGTAGTCTAGATAACTTGAAATAAGCTCTGGCTATAAATACCTGAAGATACTAGAACAAAATACAAAATAACACAAACATCCTCTTAAATGACTAGCTATGCTCACAAGAAAATAAAGGAAATCACTCGGTGCCACAAACCATGACAGAACAGAAAATCAGGCTGTTATGCACATGAGCTGACACAGTGACTCCTAGGAGGGTGATTAATCTTGGCTGATTTGGTTTCTTTGCTTTGCCTACCTTTTTTCCTACCACCCAGATAGGTTTTAATTTGATATTTAAAACATCTCACCACAGAGCCAAGTTCTTGAAAATGTGTCCTCACTCTAGTAGCTGATTTGCAAAAGAAAACAAACAAAAAAAACCCCCACAAATGACCTCTGATCCCGGAAGTGGTTACCACAACCACTGGTCTGAGACCAACTGTGCGTCCCTTCGCACCACAACAGAACAAGTGAGTGTCAGCAACAGCGCTAATGATCACTTTCAGGGTCTAGGTACGGACAGGAAAGGACTCTACCTCAAATTCCCTAAGTCTTTATTAAATCACATTCTTTCAAGGGGAAGTCACTAAAAATCCTCAAGCCACAAACTCATTTGGATACCTATGAGAAAAATGATTTTTCTACTTCCTGTTATTACTTACAAAAACCCCTTATAACCACTAAAAAAAAAAAAAAAAAAAAATCCATCCCTGAAAAACAAAAACCACTAATGGATTAAGGTGCCTTGTCAATTCTCTACAGAAATAACATTATGGCTCTTCCAAAAACATGCACTTCTTAAGATGAATTGTTTTCCAGTTGTGAAGCACTAGTTTAATTCTCTGCTTCTACTGGGTGACGTCACTAGAGCCACCAGGCCGGCCAACAGGACGTGGCTACACTTGCTAGTGCACTTACCTCCTTGGCCCATGCTGGTTTCTCACTAGGACTCATCCCTTCTTTGTAATGGTACAGTGGCTTCTTCTCCACCGGCCTCTGCTCCTGCCGCTGATGCTGGAGAGACACCAAGTAGTCTCTCTCTTGCTTTAGCTGTCTCTGCAGTCTTTCTGCTTGTCTCTGTTCTTCCAATTGTTTGCGCTTATATTCCTATCCGGACCAGAAAAGAGAAGCAAAGGAAAAGCCAGATCACCATATGGAAACCACTGGCTGGCACCGGATAAACATGCAATGTTGCCAAAAAAGATGATAACGAGAAAAGCCAACAGAACCACCAAAGGATGTCAGGACTTGCCACAGAGACAGGCTATGGCCAGGGCTAGCATTTCCTGAAAACACTATTGCTTTAATGGCAATCCCTACAGAACACTACCCCTTGCCAACTGACTTGTCCCTGACTGGGGGCCAAGAAAGTAGCAATAATGAGGACTTTTGGACGGTCAGTGCCCAAGCCCTATAAGGAGCCATCCACTTCCTGGTTTAGTAATTAAACTATTCAAACATGTCCAATTAAGTACAAAACTAAATAAGTAGCTACAGATACTGCTCAAATAATCTTGTGTTTCACAAAACTTGGACCAACAAAGGTCATTAGCAACTGTATGCACAGGCTAAAAAAATAACACAGTGCCACTGAATAAGAAGTTCAGTTAAAAAAAATGTATCAAGCAGCTCATTTGGAGAGCAGGGCAATAATAATAAAAAAGTACTTGAAGAGGAAGCCGCGTGAGCAGGGAACACAAAATGTTCCCATTGTAAGGGTAAAGCTAATAGTCTGCAAATGAAATATGACTGCAGAGCTGAGTGGGTTCTTACAGAAGAGGTGTATTTCGCTGTGATTGTATTCCAGCATGTTGCAAATGACCTTAAAAATTACTCTGCAATAAACACAGTGGGTCTCAAAAACAGCCTGAACTTGTCATAAGCCTGGATTCCTGCTAAAGTTTCACAAAGAGACTGAGTTACTAAAGAATGCATGACAAGGGTCTCCAAGGTATTCAGATGGCTAACTAGGTCAGGAAGTGCATTGGGTTTCCACGAGACTTTTGAGGTCCACGAGGCTTGGAGGATCCCCCCTTGTGGGCTGGCATGTGAGGGGGACACACGTGGGGACACACACACACACAGGATGAACACAGAGCAGGTGGCTGGCCCTCTGCTTTCCCATTACCAGAAGTAGAGCTTGTTCATGCAGTAGCTGCTGCTGCAAGATCTCTAACTGTCTCTGCTCCTCCTCTAACTGTCGCCTGATGTACTCCTGGAGAGGCAGGCAGCAGAGCATTCAGAGGAACACAAAGAGAGAAAGAGAGAGAAAAAGAACCGGTAATTTCTTTGAGGTGACAAGTGCTGCCATGTAAAGTGAGGAAGGAAGGAGGGAAAACAACAACAACAACAAAATGCCCAGACAGCGCCTCACCAAATAGGAAAAGCACCGAAGCAAAAGCATTTCAATGCAGTCAAAAGCACAAGTCCTCCACCTGCGACAGCCGCCGGAGGGGTCTCGGGGCTTTGCTGTGACTGTACGGTTTTCGTAAACCCAGCTACGTTTTAAAGCTCTTCATTGCAGGTTCCCTCTTTATGGGCCACCCGGAAGTCACAATGCCATCAAGGTCAGAGGCTCCTGTGCAAGCAGCAGGAATAGAGTAACTGTGGAAGGCCGGCATGCTCCGTCTCTGTAAGGGCCCCGCCCTCCGCCCTGCAGAGCGCCGCCGCGCGGTCAGAATGCGGTTCTACCGAAGACGGAGGGCCCCGCCTCCGCGGCGCTGACGGGACACCGGAGACCGAGGAGCAGAAAAGCCCTTCGGAAGCAATGAAAGAGGACCATGTGGCTCATTTACCATGCTTCAGTGCTACCTTCAAAGTAGATACCCAGGGTCGGGAGAACCCAAAGATCAAGGTGTGCAGGGGACTTTGGCCTGGGCAGGAAGCGAGGCTCAACGAGTGGGCATTGCCAAGGGCTGTGCGTTTGACTTCTTGAATAGGTGAGAAGAGCAGCTTGAGAAAGAGTAAAAACCCGCTTTAACTGAGCAGTCCTAAGAGACGGTGACCCACACCCCAGGGACGGTCAGCTGGCGCTGGAGCTCCCGCTGGTGCCAACTGTGGGCTCCGGGCCCCGTTGTACCTGCTCGTGCTCCGCGCGCCTCCTCTCCTCCTCCCGGCGCATCTGCTCCTCGTAGTGCCGGCGCTGCTCTCTCTCCTGCTGCTTCCGTAGCTCCTTCTCCCGCCGTTGTTGCTGTGGGGCCACAAGCAGACAACCATGAAGGAAGCGGGGCTGATGCGGGGCTGTTGGGAAAGCCTCAGGGAGGGCTGCTGAACCGCAGACCTGCGCCCTTCTCCATAGCTGCCTATACGCCCGAGGGCTCTTTCTGTCTTGTGCTCTTGGGGGACTTGCTGGCTAGGATGGGTGGGGGGCTCAAGGAGCAATTCAGGCATGCAAATACCCTGTCCTTTCCCGTGCAAGTAGACTCCCCAGGTTTGCCTCCTCCCAAGAAGTCCCTGTTGCTAGGTGCGTTCTCCCTATTGGCTGACCCTGGTACATCATCAGACTGTTTACGCAGTCTATGGGTTTTAAAACGTTTCCAGTGCTCATGCCAGTCACTCTTTTCGACGCCACCTAGGGCAAACATTTCATAGAGAAGAGAAAGCAAAAGCCACAGAAATGAAGTGACACATTCAAGGTCCTACAGTAACTAATGGCTGAGAGTACAATAGAATTCATTGACCCTGTCCCTGTCCATTACCCTATCCCATACATCATGCTGCCTTTATCTTCCAGATTATACACTTGCAAGTATCAATTTCGACTTCTCATTCAAGTAAGACCCTTAAACTCATTGTCATGATCTCCTACACTCACCAGCCCGCCGACAGTGACAGTGTGGTAAGCACCTTTCATGCTTTATCTTATTTAATCCTCACAAAAATCTGCTGATGTAGATATTATTATCATCCCCATTTTATATGAGAAAACTGAAGCATGCAGAGATTAAGCAGTTGTCAAAGGTCATCCTCATGTACAAGGTCATGCCCCAGTAAGTAGTGGCAGCACAGTCTGAACTTAGTCATTCCAGAAGATGAAGAGGCAACAGGAGCCATAGAGAGATCACAGATTAATCCAGCACTTCATGATGCTCTCAGAAAAGGAGAACATCTTAGGAATAATGACAGGAACTAATGTTTCTCAGTGGGACAGTATTGTTCCCCAATCCAGGGAGCATTTGAAATGTGCAAGGGCATGGGGGAGTTTTTCTAGTGGTCTCTGTGACTTAAGGCCATGACTGGCACATAGTACGAGGGGCCAGGGACGCTGAACATCCTGTAAGGCTCAGGACAGTCACACGTCACAGACTGTTTTCCTACACCACAGGCCCTTAGTGGTCCTTCTGAGAAGTGCCACAGCCCTTGGTGTCAGAGCCCTGTACCAACATTAGGATTTCTTCTTCCTCCACTATGAGGTTTGGGGGAACCTCTCAGGGGGGTCCATTCCCCTTTAACATTCTCAACAGCTCTTCCCTGCCTGGCTGAGAAAATAGGAGTTATCCAAAACAGCATGGGTTGTGACTAGATCACCCTGATGGCTAGCTTTACGCAAACAGGGAAAGAGCCTTCTAGGACAAAAGCTCTTGTCACAGCCCCAGTTAACCAGGCAGACGTTCAAAACTCCAAGAAGCCCACAGCTGAGGCGGCCTTCCTAATGCGGCTCTCGCCTACAATCTGCCAGACCTGCTGTCTTCCAGTGACCGCTGAGTCTTCGAGATAAGCTACATTTTTTTTGAGACTCAACGTTTATCGCTTCCAGATCAACAATTTTTTGTCCTCCTTAGATTGTGGGTGACAGGGAGCCACTGGAGGACTTTCTGCAGTCAAATGCTATGGCCAAGACTTGCATTTTCAAGGGGGGCTCCTGACAGCCACGAGGCAGGGCAGGAGGGAGTCGGGTCGGAGGGGAAGATTAGAAGCCCAAGTGCAACACCAGGCCATTCTATGGGTGCCTGCAGAACATGACAGGGCGTCAGTGAGTTAAGCAGAGGCAGTGGGAGAGTCCATGTTCACGATCGCTGCTGAGAATGGAGACACAGACAAAAGGAAGACGGACTAAAAGCTCTCCAGATTTCCAGTTCTTCCAACAGGACTGGAGTGGATGCCAACTTAGAGTAGAAATTAGAATTAGGCCAAAATCAAATAGGCAGGACTTGGGGACTATGGGGCTTGTGGGGGTGAGTGAAGTTCCTGGCCAAGGGGCAGAGCAGACGGTTTGAAACAGAGGAAGAAAAGCAGGTTTAGGGAAAGGAATGAGGGTTATATTGGGGGATGGGAATGAGTCAAGCTCCAGACGTGTAATTATTTGTTTTACTGAAAAATAATACAGGAAGATGCGAGTAGAAAACATTATCAAAGGAACTGACTGAATAATTTGGATTATAGACCCAAAACAGAGATCTTTCCAACACTCAACCCAAGTGAATCAATGCCAGCACAGAGAGTAAAATAATTATGTGTATAGATCTGGCTCCTGGCAGGAACTAGCCCTACTTTAGCTAACATTTCAAGTTTTTGACTCCCACGTCGGTCTCTTTCTTGGCAAAATAAATAAATAAATACAAAATTATCGTCATCAAGGCTTTTTGAAGGTTTAGCTGATTTTTATGTGAAGGATTTGTACATTTTCAACCCCTTTGCCGGGAATCAATACTGTTTTATAATTACATGCCACTCAGTTCCTTGTGTAAGGTGTACACAGTATTGATTGCAACTCAGGAGGGTCTGTAGTTCCTGAGAAAGACACTCAGAAGTGACTAATAATTAATAATGATCTCACTCAGATCAGCTGCCGCTAACACATGGAGGCATCTGCCAGGGCTTTGGCTCCTGTGGTGAGGCTGGAAAAATAAATCACTTCCCCAACCTTCTGAGGGCACCTTGCCAATTTCCAGCTGCTGTTGTTTCAATGTCAATCTCTTTCCTGGAAAAAAATCTTTGCTCTCTTTCCTCCTGGGCATGGAGCTGTCTCACGGGACATACCAAAACATGTCAGAGAAAGACCAAGTCCCCGACCTCAAGCAGACACCTCTACAAAGCTCTGATGACTCTTGCCAGGAGGTAAGGCCTGTGCTTGATTCTTGTTGGACCTGCAGCCCCTCCTGTGGGTCAGGGCACCTGGTGGGGATGCAAGATTTTTTTGAACTGAACCAAGTTAAGAGACTTGGCGTAAAAGAAGACAACACAGTATCTTACATCTCTTTGGAAGCATTTTCTGTTTTCTCAATCCCAGGAGTTTATTATATCACCTTGTGCCTTAAATTCTGGTTATCTGAATGTGTCTTACCTACTCTACAATCTAGGTTGAAAGCTATTTGTGGGCAAGGTCTCTGTTCCACTCCACTTTTTCTCTTCCACTAAACCCCAGTAAATCCCTGATACCATTGGTATTTGTTGCATTCAATATGGTCAACTGTGTAGAGAGAAGAGGAGAAAAGCTGGCAGAGCCTCAGACGACTCCTCCACCCTTCTATGCCTCTCTCAGACAGCCCTCCTGGCCCCCAATGTTCTTAGGCTACACATAAACAAGGCTTGAGAGTATTTTTCTAACCAGAGATCCACCAATGACTGGCATTGGCATGGCACTGATTTGCCATCTAAAAGAAAGGTGGGAAGATAAAAGAAGGGAGTGAGTCTAAGCATTTGTAAATTTCATGTAAATTATGCATGTAGATGACAGTGGTCTTGTTGCCAAAAAGGAATGGCTTAAACGAACTACCCTAAAACTTTTGGCCGATGCCCCACCTTTACTGAACTGCCTAGAATGTATGTTTTCATCTACATCTTCACAAGTTGTCTCACTTAAAATTAGATATTCAAGGGTTCTTATAAGTTTCTTAATTTTTTTTTGCTGGTTGGGAGATGATTGATAATACCCACTCTCAAAATTTTCCATGCCTTGCTCTATTGGAGTAGGTCACTGGGGTCTTCCTCTGTCTTCTGTGGATGTTCTGAAAGAGTACATCTGTTTAGAGAAGTTTGGGTTCTCCCCTAGGCTGTTCGCCTCAGGCTAGGTCCAGGGGGAGGTTGTGTGGCTGTACTTCAAGTATGTGAACTGGTTAGTTTATCCAAATGAAATAATCCCATTCCCTTGCTCAGGGGACCCTCAAAGGTTATATATTTATCCCAAATTGATGATGTAGAATTTGGCTCTTCAAATTCTTGCAGGAGAATATCACCTTAACTCTTAAGTATCCAATTCTTTTGAATGTTGTAACTGATATTCCTCACGGCTGATTGTCACGCAGGTCATGGTGTTGCTCTTTCTTTCCTTTTGTTTCTTTAAATGCTCCTTTTAGATGAAATTTAGCCAGCAGAAAAGTGTGAACTCCACTAGGGTGCTCTGGCTCTCGTAGAAGTGACTCTGATGAACTGTCAGGCCATAGGCTGCACTTTACAATGTTATCAGGACTGCCACATAGAGCTAAGCGCTGTGTCTGTGGGAAGAACACCACCACAAACATTATTCACAGCACGACTCAACCACTGCTAGAAAAGGGCACAGGTTCTCAATTATCTCAGAATGCTTGCCTGAGTAACAAAGTTACTTGAATGCGATGGACAACACAAATCTCAAACCACTCGAGTCTGCCTCTTTTCTTAGTTGCTGGGGTGCTCAGAGTCTGACACCTTCAGGCACCTGCACCAGGCACTGTGCTGGGCAGGCATTTTGTGAACTGACCCTACCCTGGCTTTGTCTTGTTTCCTCTCCTGCTTTGTAGTCCCTTCTCCTTAATTTTCTTTTTAAAATTTTTTTAGTTGCTATATTAATCTTTGTTAGCCACCTTGTGTCCTCTTTTTGGAATAAAGCAAAATCACAAGGAAGGGTGTACACAAACAAACGAATAACAGATTTTGGCTCCACAGATTTCAAAACCTCAAAACCTTCCTTAGGTTTTCTTGAGATAAACAAGAAATTGTAGGCTTTTGATTTGGTTCTTTGGTTAAGAAGGTGGCACCTCTGTTGGTGTCCCCTGAGCAAGTGGTTCGAGTTGTTTTACAGCTGTGGGGGTCCATGTGCTCTGATCCCACCATGCCCTCTCACTGAAGGGTTGTCTAAGTGAGCAATGGTGGCCCATGTAGAACTGGCTGGGACCGAAAGGGAAACAACACAGTCTCCTTTCTAATCGAAAAGATCTTACCATGCACCCGAGCCAACGTGGCTAAACGCAGCTCACCCGTCATTCAAGGACA